TTTAATATATAAATCAAGATAATTATCATTTTTATTAAAATTTAAAAATCATTAATTTAAAGACAGATAATCATAAAATCATTTTATACATTAATTTGAATCTATATAATAAATATATAATTTTTTAACTTTTTCTAAAAATATTTATTGATGCCTTTCTTTCATGTAATTTTTTTTATAGAATGTAAATTAAATCGATTTATTTAATAATATTATTAATTATATTAAGTATATAAAAATATATATAATTTTAAAAATATTTGATACTTTAGAATTTAGGATTTAAGATTTAAAGTTAAAAAGAAAAATATTGTTAGATGTAGGAAGCACAAGAGAAACAGAAAATTCAGTTTTTAAAATATCATTATTTTAATTGGTGACAGTTTTAATTATTTTATTCTTACTATTATCTATATTTACAATATCCCTTAATTATTAGTATTTTTACTAAATTTGAATGGAAAAGGATACTTTTTTGGAAGTAGATCTATGGTCAAAACTCAAGAAAATTGGAAATAAAACATTTTTGGATTGAAAATGATTAACAGAGTAATACTGTGTAAGAATACATCTGATCATGAGAGATGAAAAGTGTTTCTATATTGCGATTTGAAACTAGCACTAAACGCAGATCATTCCGTACAGATTCTCTATGTTAAATTGTCGAGATGTTTCCATGTTTGATTAAGAAAAGATAAAGGTGTAAGGAATTTATTAAAGCGATAATGCCTTTATATATAGTGGAATTATTACTGTGGCAAATTAATCATGTAAACATATTGCTAGAGACCTTGCTTACTTAATTCTAGTATCAGACACTGCATTAGAAGTTTCTTGATTGTGTGGTTATGACATATATAGCTAGGTTTTGTAACGTAAAGATGCATAAGGAAAATAAAAAATTGGGTGCCCAGGCCATTAGAATAAATGGTTTCACACTTTTTTTTTTAATTAACTAATAGATCATAGGTATGAAGTTATACTTGAGATATTATTTTACTTTTATAATAGACCGTTTTAACTATAAAAAAAAATTAAATAAATTTTTAATTTATTTAAATTTTAAAAGAAACAATTTGATTTTAATATATATATGTTATTATGTAACATTTATATTTTAATAAAAGGTTAAATGATCATCTTAAATAATAATCATCCGTGTATATAATGTTGTTGCCTCTAAAATATGTTTAAGGGTAAGTATACCTTACAATAGTAATGTACCTTATCACTGTAATAAGGATAGACAAAATTCAGTTATCGAACTCAATTGATTAAATTCAAATAATCACTAACTTACTCTTGAATTTTAGTAATTTGAAAAAATAAAAATTTAATCGAGAGAGTATTAATTTATAAATTGAGAATAAGATTAAAAAATTATTATTTAAATTCATAGATAAAAACTTTAGGATTGTGATTTATTATTTCCAATCTCCAAAAATAAAATTCATAAATTAATAAATAATGTCACTAATTTTATTTTTGAAATTTCTAATAATCCTATGGTTTTAGGAAGTTAACGGTCTTTATCTTAAGAAGAAAAAAAAACTCAAATTGATCATAAGGATTTTATTTTAAGAACAAAGCATATGCGCACAAAAGTGAATTTAATAATTAATTTAATTGATAATTAGGAAAATAGTTTCGTCATGTCAATTTTCAATAATTCAAGTATTTTAAGGTTTTGTTAATTTAAATAGTTTGATAATGTAATTTTCAATTAACTAAAATAAGAATTAAAAATATTAAAATAATACAATTAAAAATAAGAAATTCATAAATTCATCAGTAGAGGTTCTCAAAAAATAATTACATCACAACTCTTGAATGAGAGAATTAGCCACACATGTTATTAGAACCCATTAAACAAGGAAAAAGAATTAATCGTGACAGGAATAATCCTTCTCCGAGGGTTTGATTTTTACCCACTTACAAAACTTCAATAATGAATGAAAGAGAGAGAAAAAATTATGAAAAAATATAGCTATGAACATGAGAAAATTAGATACAAATTGGATGATTACAACGTGCTTTAAACATCCTTATTTATATTTAAAATTAGGGCAAATTTTTAAGTACAACCGTGCATATCAAACAACACTATTGTGCTTGATATCTTGTGCTTGGGCTTGCTTTAGGGAACACGAGCATGCTTAAGAGTGAAGGGTGTGCTTTGTTTATGTTTTTAAGGAAGCATGACTGCGTATATTAGTAAGCACGACCATGCTTCATAACATGGCCATGCATGCATAATTGTGTGCTTCTCATGAAGCTTGGTCCTGCATAAGTAAAGCACAACCATGCATGTCTATAGCCTTTTGTAATTGCTTTGTTTGATCCTTTAATTGCACTAATTTCATTTTTTTTCTTATTTTCTTTGTTTGTTGCACAATTAATAAAAAAAAGTGAAGTATTACAAAAAATAATACTTTGATAAAAATGTGTAATTTACTCTAAAGATTATTGTTCTCGTATATATGACGATTTTCATTAAGCCTTGAAATACTTATTAAAATGAACATATTATCTAAATGTATCATATTTTTGCTTAAATAGATACACATACTCTAATAGATAATATTCATTTAAAACTGAAATCGATTAGATTTGTTGTGCTTAAAAATTTTCTCTTTTTCAAAAATATGTTTGTCACCATCAAAAAGGGAGCGATTGTCAAGTCAAAAGATAATCTTAGATCCCTCGGACTTTTAGTTTTAATGATAACAAATATAAATATTTTTCTAAAAAAAAGTTTTTCAAATCAAGCTATAAGACGAATAGTAATAAGTCGAATAATTATTTTGTCATTAAGTCTCTTAGACGAAACACTTCATTTGTAAGACAAAAACTTGATATTTATATCATTTATGATTATTGATAATTGAATCAACTTTATCTATGATATTCCTTGATAGGTCCAAAGAAATTAAAAACTCACCAGTACTCACACTTCACCAAGGAACAAAAGTCATGCTTTATGTCAGAAAAGGACCAACATATCTCTTGAAGAATGTGAAATTTCAGAGAAAGTTTTTTCTAGATTGACACATGCAGAATTCCTTTTTTTTGGTACCTAAAAGGTGATAAATTTTTTTCAAAATCAGCTAAAAAGTGACAATTTAGTGAAATAAATTTAATGTTTGCATTTATTACACCAATGGACATTTTTCCTCACAAGTAACGAAAGATGAAGACATATGAAACAAGTCTATGAAAGATGTTCAAGAATTTGCAACGATCATTTTTATGAAACACCTAGATAAAGAAACTTGAAGATTCAA